CTCTTTCCTAGAGACTGACCTCCTAGAGAGGTCAGATTGTCTTCCCTCCATCCCTTCTTCCCCATTTGGAAACATGCTGCAAGCTTTGCTGGAATATTCAGTTTTAAATACTGAGATGTACGTGAATATTGCAGAAGGTGTGTCCTGGTGGTCCTGCCTTAGCTCATTTTTAGATCTCTCCTAGGAGACCAGATAAACCAAGGCCTGTGATTAGACCCATGGGACTGTGTATTTTATTTCTATTGTGTGCCTTTTCCTACCTAAGCTTTTCTGAAGAATTCTGATTTTGCTGAGATCTGTGCAGAGAGGTAAACTTTGCCAGAACGAGAACTTAAGGCACAAGTGTCATAACCTGCTTCCTTCAGTCTCCCATGTAAATTAAAAAAAGAACTAATTTTGTAATATAGATGGAATTATTAACCATGGGAGACACTGAAGCCAATTTTGGACATCAGGTTCTGAGAAGTACTATGGAGGAGCAGCTCCTTCACTAATGAAGGCAGAAACAAGTTAACAGCATCAATACTATTAAAGTTATTCCATTTCAGAAATGCTTCAAGCACCACAAATACTCCTATCTCAGCTGGAGCAAAAACCTCCCACAGTTTTATTCTGTTTTCCTATTTAGTTTCTTGCTGAGAAGTAATATTATTTTTACTTGTTCACTAGCTTTGTTTTACTTGAGAAAAAGCAACATACTGTAAACAGTTGTTTAAAATATAGTTTGCCAAAAAGCTGATACTATATTCAAACACAAATTAATTTAAAAACTATTAAGGACAGAACATAGAATTTGTGAAGGAACATGGGCTCCTTTTAGTGATCTACTAGCTAGTTAAATGTCCTGGTTTGAGGTTTAATTGCTGATCTTGAGTCAAACCAGTGACATTCAAAAAAAACACTCAGTTTCCTAAGTAATGGAAAAAGGCAAAAATGCCTCTTATCAAATGACTAACATCCAATTCACAGAATAGTAACAGGACATATAAAACCTGCATCTTCAGCTACAGAGATTATGCCAACACTGGGTCTCCTAAATTTACTATTTTTCTTTACTACTCCTTTCCAAACCATGTATATTAATAAACACCACACTTAAGTGCTTACCAGATTTTGATCTTCCATGTGTTGAGCTAGAAGCAATGGTGAGAGACTGTGGTTTAACTGGATCTACTGGTACAGTGTAAGTGCCAGCACTTGGAACTTGGATATAAGGTCCTACAGCTGCCACCCTTCCTGAAGCACTCAAGGATGACTGGGGTGAAGAAGTTCCATTAATACGGTTCAACTAAAAAAAAAATAAATAATCAAACAAATTGAAACATGAACTTCCTTTTAATCTAGGCATTTGTGCACGAACAGGAGGTCTAAATGTAATTATCTAGAACCATGCACTGTAGCTAAGAAGCCTTAATAATTAAGTTACCGTGCTCCGTGCTTCTACAAAAAAAAAAAAAAAAAGTTACAAAAAGTACAAATTTATTCCCTAAAATTTGAATTTCTCAGCCCTAGCTGAGATACTTCTTGTAGAAACTTTTATTTCTGTAAGGTCTCTTTTATTGTGCCTTTACTTCAGTAAACAGACTAAAATGAGCTCTTGAATGTTCAAATATGTGTGTGGGATTTTTCAGAAGCCTGAATACCTTCAGCTACAAATACACATGGAAATCCAGAACTGATCTCTCTGGTCCTTAGATAAATGGTCTGCGGTCCAACTCATTTATTTTCAAAGTTGCAGACAATTAATAAGACTAAATATATCAGACCATTTATATTTTTATCCATTTTCCATATTAGAAGTTCAGTATTTTGTAAAACCCAAGCTTTTTATGCTTTCATGCTTTGAAACGCAGCTTAGCATCACATTTTCCTTCCTAGAAATATAAACTACTATAATTTTTAAAATAGTATGCTCTGTACCATAAAGAAAAATTAAAGGAAAGACATTCTGCTTAAGAGTTTTCTGGTATCTATGGAAAATGTTAAGTAGTTTTAAGAAGCCTGCTACTTTTAAAATAGGTTCTTTACACATAATCGTATGATTTGGCTGGGACAGTATTAGATTCTGTGTAGCTTTTATAGGCTCTTGATAAACTAAAGTGTGGCCCTTTTAACAGTTTATCTTACAGGAATGTTTTCTTTTTGACGTGCCTCAACTTTTTTCTTGTATAGTCGTTCACGCAGCTCATTGATTCGCTTGTCCATCATGGCCACCTCCATGTTACGTTTGTTTAAGAGTTCCTTCTGCTGCTGAAGCTTGGAATTCTGCTCCTGGTTAAGCCTGTTACGGATCTTCAGGGGGAAAAAAAAAAGAAAAAAAACATTGGGTCAGCAATTTGTTCTTACATCTCTAATGTAAGAATGGGGTTCTAATTGACAAACGGGTGAATATGAGCCAGCAGTGTGCTCAGGTGGCCAAGAAAGCAAATGGCATCCTGGCTTGAATTAGAAATAGTGTGACCAGCAGAAGTAGAGGTGATTGTCCCTCTGTACTCAGCACTGGTGAGGCCACACCTGGAGTGTTGTGTCCAGTTTTGGGCACCTCAATTCAAGAGAGATATTGAGGTGCTGGAGCAAGTACAGAGGAGGGCAACAAAGCTGGTGAAGGGCCTAGAGAATAAATCTTATGAAGAACAGTTGAAGGAGCTGGGAATGTTTAGTTTGAGAAAGAGGAGGCTGAGGGGAGACCTCATCAGTCTCTGCAACTACCTGAAAGGTTATTGTAGAGAGGTTGGTGCTGGTCTCTTGTCACAGGTAATTAGTGACCGAACAAGAGGGAATGGCTTCAAGCTGCAACAGGGTAGGTTTAGACTGGACATTTATGAAAGGTTTTTCACAGAAGGAGTGATTAGACACTGGAATAGGCTGCCCAGGGAGGTGGTTGAGTCACCATCCCTGGATGTGTTTAAGGGTGGTTTGAATGTGGTGTTGGTGGAGATGGTTTATGGGAGAACTTTGTAAAGTAGGGATGATGGTTGGACTCAGTGATCCCAAGGGTCTTTTCCAACCTGAATGGTTCTATGATTCTATGATTGTATGTTATGCTTCCACACAGCCTGTCAAATTGGCATTTGCAACCATGAAGAACTCTTAAAATAAACCAGTGAAAGAATGTTGTAATAAACTAGTGGATATGTAGACTGCATCTCATTTATAGCAAATAGATGGAAAATTTTTTCATAAAGATGTTTCAGAAAATAATTCCACCACGAAAAAAAAAAGTAATAGAAAATGTTTGTTAGTTGTTATGTTTAACCGAGAGTTTTATTATCATGAAAACTAAGTGACATAAATCTTGTAGCAGAAATTATGCTATTGATTCTGGTTCCAGTTCCACATGGAACTTCTTGATGTCTGGATGCGAGGTTAAATGAACTGCTAGTGCAGGGATTGGGCACAGATCTTCCACTCTACACAGGGATTAAACGGAAACCTTCACATAGGGTTTCCAGTAGATTAGGGGATGAATTACCTTATGGTTTAAATCTACCATGACAGTATAATAATTTCTCTTGCTTTTCTATTAGCATTTTTGCACCCTTCAGTAACTCTGACAGTTTTGTCTCAGTGTTCCAATTTTCATGGTAATGTTACTTGCAAAAAAAACCTAAGGCAGATTTAAATCTTGATAAACACATATGGGATCATTGTGAAGCACAGCAGAGAAATCTATTTAGCATTTGCACTTGGAAATAGTCAAAAGACAGATATGTCTTGTATAAATGGGGAAAGGGGAAAAAAAGGGTGAAAAGGACCCTGACACACTGGCACAAAATTTAAGTATTTTGTAACATTCGAAGATAAAAACTGGACAAAATGTCTATGTAAATGGAATATGTAATTATGCATGTGAGAACTACACTTCAGATGTAACAGTATTCCTGGAGGAAGATATATGATAGTGATACAGGCAATACTGTATGAATACACTGCAGCTACAGTGCACTCTACAGTGTAGTGAATACAATGCATTTTAGACTTGTAATGATTCTACTGAACTGTGTTATTTCATTCTTACATATTTTGCTTAGTTACACCAGACATTATGGCTATATTTTTACAATACATTTTACATTTTCTTTTATTCACTGTCCAGTCATGTCTCCAAGTTAAGATGACATCTAATGGAGCCTGCTACACTCAGTTCTTCGCCAAATAGAAAAGTAATAGAAAAATGATGAAATTAATTTCTCAGAGTTTTGAGAGTTTAAAACAAGTACTAGACTATTCAGTATTAGGGGCTGAGAAATGTCCTACAGAACACTTGCACACTTTGTACCATTATGTGTATGAGCAACAAAAACAGTTTTTAAAGCTAACAAAACTGTTTCAGAGGGTTATATATGCTGATAACTGCAACTTCCCACATTAACAGCATTCCAATACACCAGTTTTGTGAGAAACCACAGAACTGAATGGCCACCCATAAGAGCAGTAATAGAAGTTTTAAGAATCTACAGCTGTCATCTAAATAGCATCCCTCCATTACTTACCTGTAGCTCTTGATATAACTTCTTTAATTCTACTGCTGCAGGTCCTGTCATTTGTCCATTGTAAGACTGAAACCCATTCAGTTTCCCTTTCCTTAAATCCTCCAGTTGCTGAGTAAGTTGATCCACTTTCAACACTGCAGCCTGTAGCTCCTGCTGCTTTTCCTGGAACATGGCACTTATATGCTCAATTTCAGTTGCTAAAATTAACAGGATAAAAAGAACAAAAAACAGTCAAGTAAAGCAGAAGTTGTTAATTTTTAAATTCTACAGGCATTGATTAATGCAACACATGAGTTTCAAATCTAGTATAGGCATGCACATGTAAAATATTTATGTTTGGAAATTTGCTAACAGTAATATTTCCTAATAATTAGAAAATAGACTTATTCTGACTTTATGCCTGATTATATAAAACAGTAACATCATATATAAATTTCACAGAAACACAGCACCCTCTGTAAGTAAAAAAACCCCATACTATCTGCAATCCTTCCTCATTGTAATATTGCATTATTTACCAGTCATGCAGTGAACAGTAAATTCAATTAATAATTATTATTTTAAAAATCCACATACACAGATTCCCATTCATGATCTTGCTGTAGTCCACTTGTCCTCTCATGGCCCGAATTTTTTTCAGCTTTGTCTCCTGAGTTTCAACACGTTCTTTCAGTTTTTGAAGCTTTTCACTCTCAGAAGCAGACTGCTGCTGACGACGCTCTTGCTGCTTTAGGTAACGCAAACGTTGTTCCTGACAACATGAGATTTCACACAAGAGGAACCTGTTACCCATTTATTTTTTACAAAACTTAACTTAGAAAAACTCATCGCGATGATCACTAGGGGTTTTATTTCCAGAAATCAGAAAAAGTTCCATCTAGTTAAAATATGTATCAGTTCTCCAAGGAAAACTCTTAATTAAGTTAAAAAATCTGTTTTTAGAGCAGAGAGTCAAGATCTTTTAGACCAAATTTTAAATTTACATATATGTGCAAATAAAACCCTAGCCTGAACACTCATTCAAACACATCTGTGCAGCTTCCTCTGGCATGTTTTCTAGTACTATTAACACATCTCCTGCCGTTGCAAAATGGACTTCCAATGCTCTTGTCCAGCTTCCCAAAGAAGTAAAAATATGTCCAACCAAACATTTTAAACAAGCTGATCAGCTGTAAGATAATGTTTCAGTTTTTAAATAACAGTCCTGATGGGCACAGAGGGCAAATGTTTAGTTTTTGACATCAAGCATGAGCAACAGAATTGATAGGTTGATTCCTAGGTATTCTAAGCATCCAATGCATACTGTATAACACCTACAATAACTTCCAACTCTGAAAACATACTTAGATTCTTACATCTCAAGAGACTTGAGGCATGTAACGCATGAATAGATCCCAAGTAGGCATATTCTCTTCTCACACTATTATTACTGGACTGGAGTGAATGAGCTTCTAAACATGAGCATAGAATCAAGCCTGGTCTATCACAGGTAATGAAGTCGACCTCACAAAAGACAAATAAAACCTAGCAATATTTTTATAAAGACACGACTTGTCTTAATTATTATAGTATAATTTATACTGAAATGCTGTGTATTGCCTAGATTAACATTAACTTGGTAAAATAATGGATGTCTCAAGCTCTTTCTTGAGCTTATGTAGAATGAATTAGGTGTTTTTCTTTATGAAACCCATGCTTGCATATGCGAAGGAAATCTGTATTTATTATGATCTGTGTATAATGATTACCTTAGCAACCAACATTTGCTGTTGATTTTCAATCTGCTGCTGCTGTCTGGCTGCCATATCTTGAAGTTCAGAAAGAGTGAGCTCAACACGTGGATTGCCAACCTGCAGAACACAAAATAGTTCATTTATGTATTGATGTATAAGTGTTCTGAAAATAGAAGTTAAATCTGCACTCCCCAGAGGAAGGCCAAGGTCTCCTTGCCAGTCCTCAGAGGACACCTATGAAAGAGTAAGGAACCTCAGAGCAGAAAGAAAGGACACAGACCATGCACATACCACAGACAGAAAAAGCAAAGAGTGGAAAAGCAGATGAAAGAGGAAAACACTAAGAGACAAAACAAACAAGAGAAAAGAGCCCTCATCCTGTATTTAACACTGCTCTGTTTGGATGTTCTGTAGAACTGGTGCACAGCACTGGCATGGCACAAGTGGGAACACACACAGGTATTTTAAGCAGAAATTGGAATCTGAAGCTTCTTTCCTTTCCTAACATTTTCAGTGTAACAGCCTTGGCAGATCCAGCTGGTGGTGAACATTAGCTACCTAGTGCAGGACAAGACCACGAAAAGCCTCAGATAAAGGCTGTCAACTAAACTCACATCCAAAGGTAGTGGGATTTTCTCACTGATTGTTACCTTAAGTGCTTCCATCTGGGAAAAACAGCCTGCACAAAGTGAAGCAAAGTTGATCCCCTTTGGATAATTAAGTGGCTCTTACTAAGCAAACTTTGAATGAAAAGACAAGATATTAGTGGGGCTTTATCATTCCTTTTGCAATTCAAAACTAACAAATTTACAAAACTGGGGTAGAGACGCAATTACTGAAAAGTATTTAAAATGGATATAATTCTGTGACAATGTGTAAGACCAAATCTTAAGCATTTTGAAAAATGAATCCCTTGTTTCAGTAAATAATTCTATCAACAAATACTATCTAAATCTATACATGGAATTAATTAAATTCACCCACATTTTTCACAATGCAATCACAAGAAAGAGTGCAGGGCAGCAAGACAAATTCCATAAGCTGACACTTGCCAAACACCTCTTTTCTTACTCAGAAAACCAAAACTTAGAACGTTAGAATTGCACAATTTAACCACAACTTCAGAATTTCCACAGGAAGAAAACATCATTCTTTGAAAAATTACGCTGGGAAGTTCAGAATAGCCCATCATCTGTTTTAAGATACTTACATGTAATTCAGTCAATTCATGGATCAGTGTAAAAAGCTGGACTACTGCATTGTAGTAATTAAAAAATACAATGTAGTATTTTCACCAACCTACCTGACTACACTATCAGTAAACCAAATTAAAATTGCATCACTTCCTCCTCTCAAGATAATAAATACTTCTGAAAATTAAAAGATATTTAGATGTTTTTGATATATTGATAAATAAAACTGTTTTAAATGAGTGTTTACAAAATGGAACAGGGTCTAAACACTTCAGATGTAAAAAAACCAAAACAACACATACAAAAAAACCCAAAGAAAAACCCCTAAAACATACAAATAACAAACCACTCCCCAAACACCTCCCCACCTCAATCAATCAACCAGACTGTGTATCTGATCAAACCTGATCCCCGAGGAAAGCTGATTAAACTGCTCTGCTTTTCCATGCCCACCCTACAGACTTCCAGTGCAATCCTGCAGTGGTCCTGTCTGACAAGTACTTCACTCTGAAAAAGGCAAACTTCACCTCTAACAATTTGTTGATACCAAAGTACACCTCAGCCACTTTGAACAGCTTGTTTCATATTCCTACATCAAATTCCTACTTACGTAAGTATCAGTTCTTATAATAGACTGTTTCTTTAAGCTTCAGTCAGGAAAGGAAAATAATATTTGTTTTAAAATAACTGATTTCTCCTTTTTTCCCCCCCCTTCAATTCATATTTCATGTTTCTGCATACAATTATTCAGGTAAGATATGCAACATCAGTCACTAAAATGAGGCAGATTTGGAACACAAACTTTTAGACCTGTTGCATCTCAGATTAATGATATAGACATGTCAAACTAGAATTTTTAGAGAAATGTATTATCCCTCTGACCATTTCCTATTAAACAAATTACAATTCTTACTGAATACTGCAATTGAAACTCTTCTTACTAGTCCATAATAATGAAAACGATTTAGAGTAGAGAAGCAATTAAGAAAATATCTGTTTATATAGCTGTATAGAATAGTGAAATTAGAACAAAAGGTAAAATCCACCCAAAACACTTATTTTCTATTTCAACACTGAACATAGTAGTTAAAAAAAAATAAATAAAAAAAATTAGTAGTGTGTACTTTATTAGCATGACTTATGACAGACAAGAGTCTAACACAACATTCTTTAAGGCCAAATAACTTGCTTGCACTTGTGGCCACCACCCAAGAAACCAAAGAGAGACATTTTATTACTACTTCCAGAATGAAAGGCACAAACTGGATGAGAAAGTAACAAAGCTTTTTTCCAAGTGCCATCCACAAACCAAAACGTCCAACTTGAAACAGAAAAAACAGATGCTGTTCTCAGAACATGTTCAGGCTCTGCTGACTTCCTTCCACCAGAAAAACCTAAACATCTGCATCTGCTTGACTCTCTAGGGAATTCTTAAAAGAGTCTAACAATGGCCTTCCTCTGGATCACTGATTTTAAAGGTAAAAAAAGTGGGTGTATGTGAATTGATAGTATATTCTCAATGCACATATTCTGTTTTAAAAACCTGCAACTTGCATCTGACTATGCTAAATCTTTCCAATGCTTCCCTCCTTTCTGCTTTGATCACCATTTAACAGCATTGATAGCTCATTCTATTTCCAGTAGTAATGTTCACAGTTGAACACTACCCAAGAAATAGGAAGATGTTTTATTCTGCTAAGAAAACTTGTTAAAAGTACATTCATACTCAAAGTTTTATCTGTATAAGGGTTGTGCATATTTCAAAGTAAAAAAGCCATTTCACTGAGTAAAAATTAGACTTTCTAAATGAAAAATGTAACCTGGAAGCACAATACCAGTAAGAAACTGTTTTCTAAAAGCACCAGATTAAAAACAACAAAAAAAACCCACAAAAAAACAACGAACCACCAGTTTGATCCCAAAATACAGAAATTTTGCTGGTTTACATAAGCATATTTGAAAGTATATCTTAGAATGCCTGAAAAAGTAATGCATTATTTTGTATTATGTAAAATAGAGAACATTAATTATCAGATGAATGCAAATAGCTTCTACTTGAGGAAACTATTAACTGCTGTAAAATGTTTCACTTAGAAAGTGTAATGTCCAAAACCTTTTTATACATGGCAAAACACAAGAACAGAGGAAACAGTGATGATTAACCACTTAGATATAAATGTCCTATGAGAAATCTTTTAACATTTACTTCACTGAATATCAGTAAGTGTCCCTGTCATTTAAAATAACTACACTATATTTAAGAAAGAAGAGGCAGCTGATCAAACAAAGTTTTAACCTGTAACTTCACTCGCAGTTTGTTCTTTTTCATCCACATGGCAAAAGCAGTTAAACACACCAAGCAGAATTCCTCTTCAACATCCAGTCAATTACTTCCACATAGACTGTTGCTGATTTCAGGCTCTCAAAACAGGACAGCATCATTTTTGAGACATGAAAAACATTGAATCTTTCACTCAGTCCTTCTTCAGAACCTCAGGTTATTCAAGGCAAAGCGAGCGTTGTATTTTCCCAGTTCCTTATTGAGCTTGTTGGTTCCTTGGATTCTTAAGTTTGTGCTGTTCATACTAGTTATTAACAATTTAATCCATGAAGTCACTCACCTCTCATAACAAACATGAGCCTATCACATTGAAGGTCCAGACCTCCTCCTTTCTCCTGCAGCAAAAGAAAACTACCTCCTGCAGAACTGCCTTCAGAAGGAGGTACTAAAAAGCCACTACAAATATCCACTCCTCCAGATTCCACAGATTCATTTGCTACACGGTGATACATCAAAGCAGACAGTTTTGCTGAACTGTAAATTTCTTTTCATTGATTCACAGCAGCATTTAACACATAGAGATGAACTCCTAAATGAAATCCTACAGAGCAGGCACTGCATAATTAAGTGCTAAGGAAGTATTACGTACGTCTCATACAGACAAGAATACTTTACACCTATATTCCCTAATTTCTTAATATTGACAAGAATCTTAAGAAAATGGTATTTATTTTGTTTAGCATGCACTTTAAAAGGTCATGATGAGAGACAGAATTGGTAACGAACTGGACTTTCAGCTTCTGACACTACCCTCTGATTAATATTTTTAAGACAGGTGAGATTAATGGTACAGTAGTAATTAAATACTTTGGGAACCAGTTTACAAGCAGCCTCAAGACAAGTCATACCTTAGGCATTTAATTAAGAAGAGGAACCTCCTTTAATATTTAATTCTACACATTAGTCTTCTTACTCTGAAAATTCATGTTCTTGTTCCTCTTTGCTTTCTTTCTACCCTCACACGACAGCTGCTGTGTCCATCATACCAAACTACTGAGTTCACATGCTTCTGAGCTATTGCCTTACTTTTCGGCAACCCACAACAGTAAATGAAAATATCACACCTGAACCAGAAATATTTATTTGACAAGCATAGTGTACTGTAGTGAAGACATGAAAGTAACAAGGGCACATACCACTGGGTTTTTTGCCTTTATTCCCATCAGAAAGCTATCTTTTATGAGAAATCTAATTATGTCCGTCCTAAAATAAAAAACCCATGAGGCTGGCCTTCTGAAATAGATTATACTTTCAAACACGCTAATTAGGAGGTGGTTCGATTTTATGCATTTCTTTGCCTCCATGTCTAAGCCACAAAGATTCTTATTTTGGATAATTTTCTAAATTGCACTAGTAAGAACAGAAAGTTACCTCGAAAATAATAATATTATAGATACCAAACCCACACCTGAGGCTGATTTAAAAAACAGCCTTAACAGAAAACAACAAATATTCATAAGCTTTACAGGCCACCATAATGACTGGCCATCTCATGTTTAGGTTCAGCAACACCTAGCCACTCAAAAAGCCAATATAATGTCATTGAAAATTAAAACCAAAGCATTTCAAGAGTTTACCAATCA